GTAAAACAATTTTTATGGTTATATTTAATTTGAAATTTAACATCCAGACTGAAATGTGCATTGGGCTACAACTTCTGACATATTAAAAACTTGAGATCAAGGTGTTTAACTTGGGTTTGAGTTTTATTTTTTTTTATATCAAAATAATCATTGGGCGAAGCAAACATGCTTGCTATATATACATAGAGTCTTGTTATAGGCCTTGAATTTTGAGACGTGAATTTGTCTTGAATCTGTTTAATCGGTTGTTTGATTGGATCGGCAAAGAAGCTGACAGTTGCGGTTGATAAGGTGACAATCGCAGTAGACAAGTGTTTCACCGGTCGTCCGATCGGTCGACTAGTAACCACAAATTCGTGCCATTCGCGCCTGAATCTTTTGAGACCTGAAGCATTAACCATATATATATATTTATATTTTTTTTTGTGTGGATAAGGGATTCAAAATCATGCTTGTTCTTTCTCCTATTTTCAACCACAATTTTGCCTTTTTGCATTAGAAAATTTTATATTGGAATTATTTGTCTCACTTATTTAACATCCTACCCCAAGGAACACATTCTACTGGTTATTTATTTATTTATGGAAAAATATCCCTTAAGTTTTTGTTTTTTCATGAAAAAAGTAGAACTTATTGATATTTTCTCCCTTTTTTCTATTTTTTTTCCTTAAAGAAAAAAACTAATTTTTCATTTCACCCATCTTGAAATGCTTATACGATTATTATATAATTTCATCATATTTATCTTAAGAAAATAAATAATTTATATATAATGTTAATTTTTTTAAAGGCAAATATAATAAAATTATGTGATTGTAATTACTAGATCAATCTATTTTTAATTTTTTTAATGACTAATCTACATAACCCGTAAAATAAACAACTGAAGTTATTAAAATTTAATCATAATCAGCCTATGGGTCCAATTTAACAATTCAATCCACTTCAATGGACTTGTCAGTATTGGGCTTCTTTCCTCATGGGTCATTTTTGTTGTTGTTGTTGTTGTTGTTGTTGTTTTTTTTTTGTTTGTTGTGTGTTTTTGTTATTTGTTACACAAATTCTTCATTTACATATATGGTAAAAAATATATTTTATTTATTTTCAGCAGAATTTGTAGCAGCAACAACACCACAATTCTTCTACGGACACAAAATTGATCATAAAATTAATCACATAAAATAATTTTGGCTACACATATCAGATGGTAAGATATCATAAAAGATACAATTTCATTCAGATTGCACCACTTATATATGTAGTTATGTAATCGATTTTGTAGTTGTAGAGTTATTGTATATATACTATCTATCTATCTATCTATAAAATGACCACTCATGTTGGTATCATGAAATCTTGGCTTCTTTGTGTGACAAGCGTCCTTTTTTTATTTTTAAATTTAAAACAAAAAAATTAGATAAATGGAAGGTGTAGGACTTAAACCAAAATTAGATAAATGGCTGAGTATGACTCAAACCTTTGAACATTGGGTCTAACGAAGAAGACTCTTACTACTTGAATAGTACACAATATATAATAAATATTTTATTTTATTTTTATTTATTTACATTGCATATGTATTGCATGCACTAACCGTTAATATCTATTTTTTTATTTATACTATTATTAAAAGTGAATATCTCATTTGGTGTCTATGAACTTCCTTATCCCCTTTTACCAGGTATACTTCTATTCTTGTGCTAAGTGTCAATTTCTATATCTAAAAGAAAAAAAGAAAAAAAAAGTAGCCTTCTATTCTTGTGTCAAGTGTCAACTTCTCTATCTAAAAAAAATAAAAAAAAAAATAAAATAAAAATAGTAGTTAAAAAAATGCACAAGACTTGAACCCAAGACCATTCACTTAACTTATTAAAGAACACTCTCGTCACTTAAACAACATAGAAAATATATTGTGAATTCAAAATTAAAATTTATATTTTAGGCACACCCATCGGGTGGAGTTACACCCCTAGTATTGTATAAAGCAAAGACTCAAGTTAGTGTCTTGAAACCTTTTTATGTGTGCTAATGGTTGTTTTAGAAAGTGACTACTCTATCTGTCTCAAAATATTAGTCTTTTATTTCATTTTCCATTATCTCAAAATATTAGTCATTTTTAAAAAATTAAGAAATGAAATAATATGATTTTCCTATTTTTCCCTTATTTTAAATTTATTAACAACACAAAAAGTACAATTGTGATAATTTATATTTTCAAAAAATTATACTATCAAAGGATAATTTTGAAAATTAATATTTTTAAAGTGTAATATTTACTATAAAAAAAAGTTGAATTCCCCAAAATGGACTATTCTTTTGGGTTGAATGAAGTATTTTAATTACCTTTTTAATTTTTCACGAAAAGACGTATAAAAAATATTTGAAAAAATGACTTTTTAACTATTTTAGTATCTTTCCAGAATAGCCCTAAGGGCATCCTAAATGATGTATCAATTTTTTCATCAAATTTGAGTAAAAATTTGAGGAAAAGCTATTTTTGATATCAAGTACTTCAACCAAGGGTTTTGCGGTTTTGTCAAATTTTTCACAATTTTTCTTCTTAAGGCTGTCATCTGGGGGGTCGACTAGGAGGATGGCCGGCTAGCGTAATTTTTTCACGAACTTTTGCCTTGAGGTGGTCATCCGGTGGTGAAAATCTAACAACAATGAATAGTAATTTGATGAAAGACATATTTGTCCTCAGTTTGATGAAAGAAAAGTGAAATCCTAGATTTGATTCTGATTTGATGAAACCGTTGGAACTAAAAAAGGAACAATTTTTCATCAAATTCAAATTTAATGATAAGTTTGATATACGGTTAGAGATGGTCTAAGAATACCTCTCATCAATTTTTTTTGAGGACTTCATCATTTTTTTTTAAAACACACTCCTAATTCCATAATTACTAGTAATCATTTTTATATCACCTACTCATAATGATGTACACATCTTAATGTGAATATGTTGAAAAAATAGAATATCTGTGTGAATATGTTGAAAAATAGTATAAAAGAATAATGCGTACCTAGCCAACTCATATATCTATACTAATGGTTTGTATATGCGATGTATGCACATTTATAAAAAAAAATAATATTATAAAAATAACAATAAAGAAAAATACATACAGTGGCGGAGCCAAGAAAATAAATCAGAAGGGGCACTTTTTAATTACAATATTGAAAATATTTACAAAAATATGTCACATAAATTTTTACGATTGACTTCGAGAAAGATAAAAAAAAAAAAAAATAATCAGTGTGTTTGGTTTGAATTTTTTGAAAATTAAGTTTTTTATTTTTTGTATTTTTTTTTTCTTAGTAAATATTTTTAAAATTTTAAACATTTTTTTTACTTGTATCTAAAAAATAAAATATTTGTAAAAAAATATTTTAAAAAATTAATAAATAGCCACTGAGAGATGGTGTACGGGACCTCTCCCTCCCCTTAGGAAAAGAAATAGAGAAAACTGAGTCTGGTTCGCATACCGAGACAAGGCACAGAAAATGGGTTCGGGAGTCCGGAGGCAGGGCTCACGGCCGTGACTCTGAAACTTCTGAACAAGCACATTATGCAACATCACCAAGCGCTCAATCGGTGACGCCTAAGTCTTAAGGTCGGTCAAAAATGGGGTGTCTACAATGTGTTGCTTGATTATACTTTATATAGTAGTCATTTTAGTTATGAATGGAAAGAAACACATGTAGGATAAACTTCATATGTCAAATGTAACTAACAATCCAATAAATTCTATATCTTCATTGAAATTTATTATGTTTGCATGTCAATAACGATAGACATCACCATTATATTGAAATTTTTATAGATAATAATATCGTAGTCTCTTTATTTTCAATTAAAACAATCGTTATTGTTCTTATAATTTTAAATATATCATTGACATTTCACTCTAAATAATATTTTTATAATTTTTTTTATATAAATATTTTCTTTATGTTTGTTAAAAAAAAAAAAAAAAAATCCAAAACTCAAGGGGGGCACGTGACCTCCCTGGGCCCATCTTCCCTCTGCCCCTGAATACATATATATTATATATTGCTTAAGTGACAAGAGCCTTTATTATTCAACCCATTGTCATGGGCTCAAGGCTTGTTCTTCTCTTTGCATAATTTTTAAAAAAACTCTAAATGTAGGAATATTTTGAAAAAATTCAAAATATAAGATACATTTGTGTCAACACCACCAGGAATATTTTGAAACAATTCAAAATATGAGATATATTTGTGTCAACACTACTAGTCATCACTTTATATTAAATATATATATTTATATACTAGAAAGTGTCTTCAAACCCATATGGTGGTAGATCAAGAAATTAATAGTTACAAAAGGACCATGTATTTGAATTTAACAGTTATAAAAACTAGTTTATGAATAGAAACAAAGCGACCCAAAGAATTCATATCTAAATTTTTTATTTACTTTATTCTATTTATAGAATAGATACTTGTGAAGTCATGATCAATTGCAAAATTGCACAACAGCAAAGGCAGCAGAGTCCACTCAGCCAGTTGTGATGAGAGCAGCATATGCATACAACAAAGTGATGGCTGCACAAGTCCCCACTGGACAGTGAGGAGTTTTTGGCTTTTATTTGAACTTTATAATCCCACCAAAACACTCTCTTATCAATTTTTGACCTTCCTTTTTTTTTTTTTCACATGCCTAGTTAGTTTGGTAGATAAGAATGAATAAAATGATTGATGAAAAATTTGTATATTTCTTTTTTTCTTACAAGGTGTGATTTAATAACAGTAAGATTTATTGTTAGAAATATCTTAAAATGAGAGAATTTTTTCCTTAAATATTAGGCAGTTTAACTTGCTTAATAGACGAGTCACTCTTAAAAATAGTGAATCTTATTATTCAAATATAATTACATGTTTCAAGATAAATTTGTAACCACATATGTACACATAATATAGTTTATTATGTCTACATAGTAATACATTATTAAATGATAGTACTATATGTTGGTGATTGTATAATATCACCATTATACTGAATTTTTTCCTAACCTTTTCAGTAATGGGATAAGATCAGTAGGCTACTACCGCTACATACCTCCTTCAAATTTCGTTTTAGTGGGAGCTCCATATAAGTCAGCTCTTAATCAAATAGTTACATTGTCATGTGTATGTCTCACTGTCCTTGCTCTAAAAAGTGTTTGCTTCCTCCTCTATATGAATAGAAGGCAAGTGTGCAATAATTCAACAAAAAGCTAAGTTCTCTCAATCTCATGAGCTTTGTGGGCATTTTCTAGTACTTTTATATGATAAAAAAACCTCTTTCCCAAATGGGTTTTTGCTCATTCCAAATTCCAGTCACTTTCTGGCGACTCTTAGCGGTTTTTACGATGTTCATGGCAATATCAGGACGACTAGCAGATTGCAAATGTGCTTTTGAGGCTATTTTCAACTTTGGCGATTCGAATTCCGACACGGGCGGGTTTTGGGCAGCTTTTCCCGCAGAGTCCGGGCCTTTTGGGATGACCTACTTCAAGAAACCGGCCGGTCGGGCTACTGATGGGAGGCTCATGATTGATTTCTTAGGTAAATTTTTAGATAATTAATTTCTTTACTGACTTAATTTTTTTGCAAACTTGCATTTTCTTTGTTGGAAGATGGAAATTGATGCACAAGTTATCTCATTGTGAAATGTGAAGTGTGAACACACACACACAGATGCCAGGCACACTTTCTTGCATTTTCTTTTCAGCCAAACAGTGAGCATAATGTTTCTCTTAGGATGAGGATCCATTTGGCTGATATGAACATTGGCATTTTTTGTTTGTGTTGTTGAACTGTGTTCACACAAATAGTGCAGTTGTCTTGTTCTTCATTGGATCTTCCATTATCTTTTTAGTGCTCAACTACTTTTCAAAGACACAATCTCAAGAGTGTTTAATGATTTAATTATATACTAAAAATTAATTAATTTTTGTTAAATCATTGAACTAAAAAATTATTAACAATGAGTGGAGAGACTTTTGAAATATATTAACTAAGTTTTAGAAAAATTATCACATAGGTTTACCTCATACTTTACGTGGCATGTTCTTATAATTCTATTAGTTTCATACCTATTATTTCTTATTTTTTTTCTTATGCGATATATAAAATAACCAACAGAATTGAAAAAAAATACACAATCTAATTGAAATTTTTTTAAAATAAAATAATTCCTCCTAAGTTTTAAGTGACTTAAAAAAATAATGTGATATAATTTCAATAGTAAAAAAATAATAATAAGTTGGGTTGTTCGATGTCACCATCATGTATAGTTCCAATTGTGAGATAAGTGCAAGGCTAAGTAGGTTTCACATTTTTTTTATTGGTCCATATCCATGTGAGATAGTTTTGGAATGATGTGAACCACTTACCCAAAGCGAGGCCCATTTTTCAACATCCAATGGTACCTCCAAAATGGACTCCCAAGTTTTCAATTTGGGTGGCATCACATCAATTTTGATATTAAAAATCCAGCAGGCTCCAAAAATTTTGTCTCAATGTAATTTTAGGCGTATCATTATATTTCAAAATTTTCATGTATAAGGATTCCTAATATCTTATATTGAAATAGAGAAACAAAGATAATTGAAAACAAATGATCTCTTAACCAATCTAGCCAGGTAGTCTTATTACTAGCAGTAGAGTCTTTGTCCAAATCTATTATATCCCTTGTCTCCTACCATCTCTAAGATTCGCTTTCTCCTATGCCACTTCTAAGATTCATTTTGTGATTTGATTGAAAGAATGATTTAGACAAATGATCCGATCTTATTAGAATGGCACTTCAACGCACTACAAGAAAACACACATTTGGCGACTAAATTTTTAATCACCAAAAGTCCTTTTTTAGTCGCCAAAAGTCGAATTTTCAGTTTCCCCAACTAAATATTTTAGTCGCCGGTTTTGTCACGAATAAATGGTCACGAATACGTACGTTTAATCAAGCATAACATTGGATAAATTAAAACAAATGATACTTGAAAATTAGCCATTATTGGGTACTATCACTTTATAAACAAAAAACCCATCAATGTAATTTACATTTTCAAGATTATTATTACTACATTCTGATTATTACTACATTCTGATATACAATTCTGTATAGATTTTTATTTTTGAATCACTTTTTAGCAACTTTTAATGGTCAATTAACATTGTATTTTTTTCTTGGTAGCTCAAGCTCTAGGGTTGCCATTTTTGAGCCCATATTTGCAATCAATTGGATCAGATTACAGACACGGGGCCAACTTTGCAACATTGGCATCAACAGTTCTCCTGCCAAAAAGTTCCCTATTTGTCTCTGGGCTAAGCCCTTTTGCTCTGGCCATTCAGCTCAACCAAATGAAGCATTTCAAGGTTAAAGTTGATGAACCTCAATCTAATGGTAAAAATCGAGTGCACCGTGGTGCTTCTATATTCAATTGATTATTTTATCTACTGTTATTTGGGTGGAAAATGTTTTTGACATTTTTTAATAGTTAGTATGATGAAAAGTGAAGTCAATAGAAAGTATTTTCTATTGTCATTAAAAAACCGAGTTAATTTTGGCTGAAAGCATTTTTTACCACCACCACTTACAATCATTGTCGTTGCCACCACCTTTGCTTCACCACACCACCTTACTATCACTACTAGAACCACCAATACTATGATTTTCAAGATTACAACTAAACACAACAAAGTGTTTTTTTTCAGAAGACATTTTTTGAAAAATATGTTTGATAAAATGATGCATAACATTATATATTTTTATTTTATATTTTATAATTAATATTTAGTTAGGCATATTTAATTTAGTATATAATAGTATAGATTTATTTAATTTCTTAATTTTGATTTGATGCAAGTTTTGTATTCTATTAGCTATGATTTTTATTTCTTATTTTATTAGTTTCTTATTCTCCAAGAAATAGGTTAACTATAAAGTTGTAAGCCTTAGAGTTATGGGGTTGGAAATTGATATTTAATTAATAAAAATTGAGAGTTTTCTTAATATTATTCGTTCGTAGAGAGAATATTTTTAATTCGAATTTGGTCGTGGTTCAATTTTGTTCTTTGCTCTTTTTTTCAATACCCTTCCCTACATCATAAATATATTTTTTTTAAAAATGATTTTATTCTCTCTCTT